GTAACAATACAGTTACAAACAATCGAAGGAGAAATATATTTGACTAATGGATGGGAGCAATTTTTTGGCCATCATAACTTACATGATGGTTTTGTTGTAGTATTTGAATATAATGAAAATTCAACATTCAATATGAGGATATTTGATCATTGTAGATTAGAGGTTACATATGGCTCTGATGTTGAAGAAGACGAGGCTTTACATCTGGATAATCCTGCATTCGAAGTAACACTGACGCTCAATCACAACAATCATCGAGAAATTGTAGGATATCTTCAATATATCATTCTATATTTACATTTTTCACATTATTTTAGTCTTAACATCAATATCCATATTTTTTCGAAGCCTATTCCAGGAAGGTTTGCAAGACACCATCTACCAAAATATGTGCAGAATGTTCGGCTCCATGACTCTCTACATCACAACAGGGATATCAATGCAAATTCAAAACCAAACGGTGTGATGCGCCGTCTTACTATAGTTTGGGCCAATTTTTTGACAGAGAAGGAACTATAAATCAGAGATACATGCGTATTTGAATTATTAAATAGTAAATCTCCAATGTTCATGGTTTACAAAAAAAAAAAAAAACCACGACAATGGAACTCTAATTCTAAAACTTTTCACACCAATAATGTTTAATATTTATGTTGATCCATTTCACTTTTTCGTTAATTATCTTAAATTATCGCATAAAGATTTTCATAGAAATTACACTTTTTTCTTTCTTTACAATTCAAAAATACTACAATGTCTCTAACTAAAACATAACATTCTCTTGTATATTAATACACACACACACACACACACACACACATATATATATATATGGGTTACCCTAATACGTTGTATGATGGATTCACCTTCAAGAAAATGTTTTCAAGTAGAATAAACATGTGTGTTTTGTAATAATATCACTTACTGTAGGAATATATTTACATAGGAATATAATTATGGAATGGTAAAATGATTAAATCAAGTTAAAAAACTTACATAAATGGGTTCCAGAAATGATTTCCTCCACCTCTATCTAAACTTCTAGATATCAACTTTACCAATTGTATTCATATTAACCACGCAACATTTGATAGCTACACAACCTAATATGAATAACAAATGATCATTAGTAAATAGAAAAAAGTAAGAAATTTAAAAAGTTATGTGTGATGAATACTTGTATTCAGAAAATATAAAGCATGACGACTAATTAATATATTTTTGGAAAGAATAACTTCAGAAATTCTTTTTGCAAAGATACAATTTTGCAAAATCAAAATATTTCATCATGACAATCAAAAGTCATAAGTCCAGATTTGTTATTAATTTTGTGTTTGTAATAACAAATATAATCAATAAAAAATTATAACAAACAATTAAGAATATACCTTAGAAATCTTCATCAGCTGAAGTGAACTAAATTTAAGATTTCATGATAGACAATATTTTAATACAACAAGTATGTGATTTATTTTTGACAAAAGGTTTGATCAAAACTTTTGTATTTTCTCTTGTTCTAGCTCAGGACAATGCAACATATAATTGGCCATGGGAAAATACAATTTCTGGAAGATATAAGCCAACAAAATCTAGAGTTTGACCTTGAGATTTGTTAATGGTCATTGCAAAACATGGAGGAATTGGAAATTGAGTTCTTTTAAATAGTACAGACTATTTATCGCCTTCAAGAGGAATGAATGGAATTCTAGGCAAAAATATTTGCTTTCCACGATATTCTCCTGTCCCAATTTCAGCCAAGATAACATTCTGCTTAAAGTCACGACAAATAAGTATAGTCCCATTCCATAAATCTTCTGCAAGATTAATATTTCTGAACAACATAACTGAACAATTTTTTTCCAAAATGAGTTCATGTATAGGTATACCATTTGGAGTTAGACTATTAAATCCTTCACTTTTATCAATCACTTCATCAAAACTAAAATATGTAACTTTCTCTCCTGGAATTTCTTTAAGCAACATATTGTTTATTAAATCTATATATTCATTTTTTGGGTTTAAAATAATTTTATTCTCATAATATGTAAGTTGTCTCCATATGTCTGGAAATTGGGAAATACAATGTCTATTCCTTCAATAATTTAAATTCATCTTCAAAATTGATGGTAATATCTTTAGGAAGAGTAATCATTTGGCATGAATGTGTTCTCTCTATTCCATTCCCAATCTTCAGCAAATATTCACAGAATGAAGAATTTAATTTAGCTCTCATATTTTCGATTAATCCTAAATATGTAAAAGAATGCCATAAATGCAAAAAAAACTAAACTTGACTTCATTATAGCGTCTTTTGTTCCTCTTTGTACTACTGGTAAAATTTGTCGAAAATTTCCTCCACACAAAATTACTTTTCCACCAAATGGTGATTGACATTCAGTAATATCTCTTAACATTTTATCTAAAGCCTCAAAAGCATATTTATGAACCATTGGTGTTTCATCCTAGATTATTAGCCTAGCCAATGCTAAAAGTTTACCAAGCAAACTATTTACTCACCGAACAACGCATATCACAACTTACTTCAAGCGAAATTTTGAATCTTAAATGTCTTGTTCTACCAGCCGGTAATAGAGATGCAGCTACACCTGATGATTTCATTGTTAGTGTAATAAGATTTTGAGATAGTAAACCAAAAAGTAATGCCTTGTACAAATATGTTTTTTCAGTGCCTCCTAGACCATCAATAAAAAACATTCAATTCTTACCATTTAAAACACAATCCAAAATAATATTATAGGCATTTTGTTGCTCTTTATTTAAACTCTTACTATAATGTAGGTCTGACAGAAAATTAATATTGATTGTTTTTTCGGCAATCGTGGTTTTAAAGATATCATCATCATTCACAGTTAAATCAAAATCTATCAAGAAAAAATCAATTATATTCTTACCAGAACCTTCTAAGAAAGAATTTATATAGTGTAAAGCTTTCATCTCAGCACTTTGTTGTGTGAAATCTTTATGTAAATAATCTTCTATCATGAAATCCTTAAACTTATCCCATAAATTCCTTGGATTTGTAGGGCAAGATAAACTCAATACATTGGCAAATAGTCGCCGCAATGATATGGGCATTTGCTAAGCAACTGCCTCAGATAAACACATCTCAAAATAGTTATTTACACTAAGAAGACCATGGGAAAGTGCTGGTTCACAATAAGTAGATAAAACAATACCATTGACCGTTTTTAAATTTTCAAAAGATTTGGGCCCTCTAATATGATTTAGCAAAACTCTTAAAAAATATCTCTCACATTCACATGGATTAGCACTGACTATTCTACCAATAACTTTTTTGCTTTTTCTAGGACTCCAAATTCGCATGGATGTATCTTATACGAAATAGGTTGGAAATTTTTTATACAGTATCATTTTTGCCTTTTCATTTGAACTATTCATTCTAAAGAATTCTGTTAACATTGTTCGGTGAACAAAATTTTTATTTATAACCTTTGATAAATCATTTGTCTCCTTGTATGTAACCGTTTGAGCATCTTTAGTATGTAACTATAAAGAGACTACTGTAGGAGATATATCGAATAAATCAAAACTAAATATCCTCACATAGCTTCAGGTGGAGATATCCATCTAGCTGTTTGGTAGTTTGAAATCTCATCAACAAATTGTTTGTTTGTTTCTTTATTTACACTAAAATGAATGCGGTCATGTCCCTTATATACATACTTGTATAGATATTTAACAACTTTAACAGAAGAACATAGCTCCATATTAATGTGACAATCATATTTAGCTAAAATGTAAGGATTATACGGTACAACCAATCTATTATCCAACATACATCCTCTTACTTTAACACTTATACCATCATTGCGACGCTTTTAAAGTGGGTAGGAATCATTATCCAAAGAAGTATTTTCAACGTAATCTCTCGGATATTTATTTTTACACACAAAATTCTTTTCCATACAAACATTCTTAGAATTCAGATTCCCATAAGGACCATGTATCATATGGTTTACAACAGTAGCATGCAGGTGAGGGTATTTTTGTTTGTCCGGTATTTTCGATGAGACAATTTCATCGACTTGCACAGAGTTCCGGATCTTAGAATTTTTTTTTTAAATATAAGGAGAAAATGAACGTGAGGTAATCCTCTTTTTTGAAATTCAATAACAGAAACATATGCAGCAATAGGACCCAACAACTTTCTCTTAACCAAATCTGTCTTCAGTTCCTCAAACTTGGCACGAAATATTCGCACTAACAAATTTGGCATATTCTGTATTTCATCAATGTATTTCAATTCACATTTTATTTCACTCCAGTTTGGATTACATGTCATTGTAAAAAATACACCAGGATTACCATATCTCTGAACTAAAGACATTGTATCCATATATCTTTTAGTCATGTTTCTAGGACCCCCAATAAAACCAGAAGCCAATACTAATGATCTACCAATTTTCTAACCTCTATTCTCACCATTTTGTACACTATCTACAATTCCCTAATATAGTTCAGCTCTTATAACCTTTTGGTTATTACGAAAGTAGTCTAATCTTGCTGTTTCAATTTTCACATACATATCCCCAACATATTGCTGTAAAAGTCTGCCAGCATGTAAAATAATACAATTATTTATAGACCTGATTTGAAACTTGTAACAATAATATTCTCGACATGATACAGTTATTCGTTTTTCTTTGCCTTCAAAACTGCAAGAAAGAAAAGAATATATCAACAAAAACTTCATTTACTAAATGCAATTAATAACATAAATAAATTAGCTTAAAAAATAGAAATTACTAAAATCGTTTACCATAGTCTTAAATTCTGACAAACCGGAGCTTATGAAACACTTACATTCACATTTTCAATACCATTATGCCATCCAGGTTCTCTGTATGAGAAAAGTAGTGAATATTGGAGAGGATCATAACAACCATAATAGTATTGAACTTTATATACATTATCTGAATATCCATAAATTAATAAATCCCGATCTCTAGTATTTGTAGATAGGTCATCGTCAACCCAAACTATAGCCACTTGTTTTGATATTGGCAAGTTATATATTCTTTGATCAATATTAGGATTAGACTTCAATAAAATACAACATGATTATAAATCACAAACTTCACTTAATGATCGGAAAAACTTTGAATATGGATTTTTTTTAGAACATCTATCAACTTTCTTAAAGTAAACTCACAAAATTTGTCAGAAGTATTCAGTCTATTACAAATTTCATTTTCAATAGCATAGAAGAATAACTGTAAATACGCTGAATTCTCATTCTTTGGCACAAGTGAGTTTATAAAATGGTATACTTGTCCTTGAACTTTGAAAGTATATATACCTTTATTATATTTATAAAATCTTTGTCATACTTAACACCAAACGAAGTAAACACAAAATGATTGTTGTAACTACGAACAACCTTTTTAAAAGCTACAGTCTCTTCAGATGTGGAAGTAAATAAATCATACATTTTAGGAGGTATATTATGTAACTGTGATTTGACCTTTCTATCACAACAACAAAAGCATTTGCTTTCTTTATAGAATTTTGTAGCACCACAATGACCACAAATTTTTAAAAATGGCAAAACATAATGTTGATGAGGAATACTTCATTTGCCAATTTTTTTTGCATATTCAACATTCATGCTCACGTTCTCTAATTCTCCTAATTTAAAACATTGATTAGCATCACCTACAAGAAAAAAAATTGGAAAAAAAAAAGGAAATTGTAAGGAAAAAAGCATTCCACATAAATAAACTAAACATAATTATTAAAAAATGACCAAACAAGAGTTATAAAAAATAAAAATAAAAATCTCCGAAGAGTTCTCTTTCTGTATATAAAAAAAAAAAAAAACACACAGCCAATAAACAAATACAACAAATACAAACACAACAAGATGATAAACTAAACTATAGAAACGCAAACACGAACAATTTTTTTAAAAAGATGTAGAAGTAAATAAATCTAAAGACCTTTCTATTACAACAACAAAAGTCTCTGCTTTCTTTATAGAATTTTGTGGCAGGAGAATGAGCACAAATTTTAGAAGATGGCAAAATATAAATATTTTCTTTACCAATTTTTTCTGCATATTTAATACTCACACTCATTCTCCTTATTCAAAATGTTGATTAGCATCACGAAAGAAAAAAGTTAAAAAAAAAAAAGAAAATTGTAACGAAAAAAGCATTTCATATAAATAAACTATATATTATATAAAAAAAGAGCGCTATAAAAAAAATCTCCAAACAGTTCGTAGAGATCAATTTATCTCTCCGAACTGTGTGGAGAGATCGAGATCACTCTTCCCTCCGCACTCTCCGCACAGTACGGAGTTTTAGGAATTTTTTTCCTAAAAAAATAGCCAATAAACAAATTAGAAAAGAAAATTGTAACGAAAAAAGCATTTCATATAAATAAACTATATATTATATAAAAAAAGAGCGCTATAAAAAAAATCTCCAAACAGTTCGTAGAGATCAATTTATCTCTCCGAACTGTGTGGAGAGATCACTCTTCCCTCCGCACTCTCCGCACAGTACGGAGTTTTAGGAATTTTTTTCCTAAAAAAATAGCCAATAAACAAATTAAAATAAAACAAAAATTGACAAACTAAAAACTATATTAAAACTACAGACAAATTAAACATAATTATTATATATAAAAAAATAGCTACAAAGTTAGCTTCTTCAAAATGCTAAGAAAAAAAATTAGTAAGCTGATTTCTCCGAAGTGTGCAGAGAGTTCTGAACTCATGTTCCATCTCTTCGTGCCACCTGATTTTTTTTCTTTTTTTTTTTTTTTGGGACAAAATCTGATCAAAACAAATAGAAGTACAAAAAAAAAAAAAAAAAGCATAGACACTACTAAATATCAACATGTTAAACTGAATGTCCTTAAACGTCAATTAGAATGAACTGCAGAATGAGGTTGCACTTCATGCATTAGATTTTTCAGTTGAGGATTCTCAATGC